TTAAACAAACCACAACCACACAACCAACGTTGCCCCCGTTTTGGCAGCAGCTCCTCCGTCTGCGTTGGCTCGTTTGCGTTTGATGCATGAGAATTGTTATCTCTTTCGCCACAGTCACCCGGCTCCTCCATGCTTGTTTGTGTTTTTCACAATGACAGTAGCGTGTGTGGGCATGCCATATACGGAGCGTCCATCGTAAAACACTGCCGTGAAGCGTGTTTTTGCAACACTGCGATAAAAACGATAGAGCTCATGTATCCCGATAGAAATTTTCTATCGTTTAGACGAAACATATCGTTATATCGTGAAGCCTTACCTGAGGGGGCAGGTCTATGAGGACCTTAGGGCCATGTTTATGCAGGACCTGAGGGGCAGGTCTATGAGAACTGAGGGCCAGGTTTATGAAGACCTGAGTGCTAGGTTTATGAGGACCTGAGGGGCAGGTCTATAAGAACTGAGGGCCAGGTTTATGAGAACCTGAGGGGCAAGTCTATGAGAACTGAGGGCCAGGTTTACGAGGACCTGAGGGGCAGGTCTATGAGAACTGAAGGCCAGATTTATGAAGACCTGAGGGAGCAGGTCTATAAGGACTGAGGGCCTTGTTTATGAGGACCTGAGGAGGCTGGTTTTTGAAACCTGAGGGGGCAGGTCTATGAGAACTGAGGTCTAGGTTGATGAGGACCTTAGGGGCAGGTTTAGTGAGACCTGAGGGGGCCATGTCTATGAGGACCTGAGGGCCATGTCTATTAGGACCTGAGGGGCAGGTCTATGAGAACTGAGGGCCAGGTTTATGAAGGCCTTAGGGGGCAGGTCTATGACACATGAGGGGTGGATTTTTGAGGACCTGGGGTGGCAAGTCTATGAGACTTGAGGGCTTGGTTTATGAGGACCTGAGGGGAAAGGATTAGTGGGACATGAAAGGGCATGCTTATGAAGACCTGAGTGCTAGGTTTATGAGGAACCAAAGCGGACTGTTGAAGATCAGAGTGAAACTTTTATAACCATGGTTGTAAAATTTCAGACCCCTACCTGCGCCCTCTTTAACCATTGTCCTCTTGAACCCGCGTGCCCATAATCATAAAAACCGTGTAGAACTGACTCTAAGAACGTTCTGATCACTTCAGCTGACTCTGTTTTTTTTCATTAAATTGAAATTATTTTTATTATGAAATCCTGAAGGAGGTTTTTTTTCATGTACTCTGAAACTTTTGTCTCTTTATCCTGTTTGCGTGTTTTTGGTCTCTGCAGGTCTCAGAGGTTACAGTTTGACGTGTCATCACCAAACGGCATCCTGCTTTTCAGAGAAACCAGCAAGATGATCACGACCTACGGTAGGGGGAGTCCAGACTCACTGTCATGATTTTACCTTCAGTTTGTGGTTCTTTCTGGACATTTTCTCTCCTCCTGTAGGGAACCGAATCCTCACGTTGGGGGAGGTACCGAAGGACCAGGTCTACGGGGTGAAGCTGAAGGGCGTCAGTGTGTGTTTCGCCATGCTGAAGGCGGTGCTCAGCGGGAACTACGTTAACTTTGGCGTCTTTCGTCTGTACGGCGACGACGCTCTGGATAACGCCTTACAGACCTTCATCAAGCTGCTGCTGTCCATCCCTCACAGCGACCTGCTGGTACGTCCTCCAGATCAGACCACCTCTCAGGGTCTCAGAGTCCTGGTTTCTGTAAACTCTGCTCTGGTACTGATCCGTCTCCTCCTGTTCATGCAGGACTATCCGAAGCTCAGCCAGTCTTTCTACTCTCTGCTGGAGGTTCTGACGCAGGACCACATGAACTTCATCGCCAGTCTGGAGCCACACGTGGTCATGTACATCCTGTCGTCGATATCAGAGGGGCTGACGGCGCTGGGTAAAACCTCTCTTTGGTCTCATTATTCTCACAAACAGAGGAGCACAGACATGAGAATGTGTGTGTGTGTGTGTGTTTCAGATACCATGGTATGTACAGGCTGCTGCTCCAGTCTGGACCACATCGTCACCTACCTGTTCAAACAGCTGTCCCGCTCCACCAAGAAACGACCCACTCCCATGGCAACGGACGACCGCTTCCTGCACATCATGCAGCAGCATCCCGAGATGATCCAGCAGGTCTGAGATCAGCTCACTTACCTGTTCTGTCTGTGCGTGCTGCGTTCAGGGACACACTGTAAACCTGAGTGTCTTTTCTGCTGCAGATGCTCTCCACCGTGTTGAACATCATCATCTTCGAGGACTGCAGGAACCAGTGGTCCATGTCCCGGCCGCTGTTAGGACTCATCCTGCTCAACGAGAAGGTACACAGGCTCCTCAGTATGTGTGTGTTTAAACCTGTTAGTGTGTGTGTTAGTGTGCATTCAAACCTGTTGATGTGTGTGTGTGTGTGTGTGTGTGTGTGTGTGTGTGTGTGTGTGTGTGTGTGTGTGTGTGTGTGTGTGTGTGTGTGTGTGTGTGTGTGTGTGTCTTTTAGTATTTTGCTGACCTGAGGAACAGCATCGTGAACAGTCAGCCTCCAGAGAAGCAGCAGGCCATGCACTTATGTTTCGAGAACTTGATGGAGGGAATCGAGAGAAATCTACTAACAAAGAACCGCGACAGGTGAGTCCTCAAATCTACCTCAAATACATCTTGATTTTTACATCCTTGTTTTTAAAGAACTAAATCACCTAGATATCACTCAGTCATCTCCCCTTACAGAGCTCGACAGTGCGACCATTTTACTCCCTTTGCAACTAAAAATAGATGTGTGTAAATTGTGTAATGAATTTAGGGTCACATGTGCTCATAAAAAAAATTAGCCAAGGTAACAAATGTTTTTTCATGTAAATCCGGCAGTGAAGTTAGTTTTAGGTTGGATATTTGACGGACATTCACTGAGGATCTACCGGTGTCTTCACTGTCATCCTGTTTAGGAGAAAAAGTATTAAAATATCAGGATCTCTCACCTCCAATTTTCACCACATCCAGAATGGCTCTGATCTAAAACGGTGGTGATTTTCGCCGTCCGCCAATTCCTACCGGATCTGTTGGTGAGGCGACTTTCGTGGCGGATTACAGGCAACAGGAATCGCGAGAGCACACAAGAACTCGCGGATTCACGTTCAATCTTGCAATAACAAGTTCTCTCTATAAAGACAGACACATAGACATATCAGCAGTAGATTGTGTCCTTCCAGAGGAAGAAATCTACTTCTAGACTTCTAGAATCAGCATCTCCTCATCCATGGTGTCATCGGGGTGAAATGACGTCTAAAAACCTTTTACTTGTTCGTCTCGGCCCGTTTGCATGGTGTGAAATACGATCCTCCTGAAACACAGAGTGTTTCATTTTGAAAAGAAGCCGGATGTTTTATTTTGTGTCTGTGCCAGACTTCCTTTCCAGCACTAGCTGAGCAGATAAGGAAATAATTGTTCACTTTGTTATTCAAGCATGAAATTTGGTACATATACTCTTCAAACCCCACTATTTTCAAAAATAACGTTAGCCACGCAAAATTCCAAGATGGCGGCACAAAATCCAAGATGTCCGCCCCAAAATGTGGTTTTTCCTTTATAACTCAAAATGACTTGATTTTAAGCCCCATACATATATTGAAGTTGAATATAAAGTTGGGTATTGCGGATATTACATCTCTGTATCCATTACGGTTCTTGAGATACAGCATATAGATACTTGTACAGAATTGGGAGAGTGAGACATTTGTAACACCGATTGTTGTTACGTGCACATGGTTATATGAAAATATCATTTCCATTATCTGTTATTTTCATTAGGGTTATAACATTAAATTCGAAAAACCAAGATGGTGTCCAAGATGGCTGCCATTGCCTTGAAGTAATCATGAATTCAGCAGAGATGAATCATGAATTCAGAAGAATGAAACTTGTCATAAAACGTTAAAAATTAGGCATTTTGTGACAATTTTCTGATTTTTGTTATGCTGTTAGGTATGTGTATAAAGGGGTGTTCAGACCAAATGCGACCAGGTCGCGTCGCGTTGGTCTGTCGCGTCGGTCTGTCGCGTCGTGTTGTTGGACATTTCAAAGACATTTTTTTCACTTAAAGGGCAACTTGTGGCTTTTTTTAATAAAAACTCTTCTATCGCTTGTTTTGGGTTTCAACCATATACTAAACTATCTAACATTGGATACCACGCAAACCGACCACTAGGGGATGCACTCAACTCGTTTGCGGTGTTTTTTAAAAAACCTTATACCCATATCTAACACTATACTAAAATTCAGAAGTTTACAAAATTCCCTAATTTTTCCTGATCCCATCTAAGCTAAGTACAGAATTTAGACGTTGATAAAAGCAGGTATTTTAGTACCATGTGCATCTATTACAGTTTGTAAGATACAGCATACTTACTGTGAGTTACACCTCACAGTTGCAACTGCACAGAGCTGTACACGAGACCCAATTTGTAGCACTTGCACCTGCCACAACAGCCAGATTTACAGCCACATTTGGTGAGCTGTTCGCATGTCTTGGCTATTGCAGAGTTGGCTGTCCAGAAGACCTGCCATTCCTCACCAACCTTTTGACATCCCCAGTCTGCAGGGTCCTCTGCTTCTGGCTGACACTCGGTTGCCTGGGCCCACACACAACCAGCCTGATAGGCAGCACGCCTGGTGTGTTGGAGTAGAGCTGCTCTGGTTTCTGGCAAACAAGTCAAGCCTGGCCTCATCCACAGTAGCAGCTGTGCTGGATCTGTCATACATGAGAATGACAAACTTCTCAAGCACCTCTATGTCGCAGTCCTCCACTGTAGGAGGGTAAATACCCAGTTTGGGGAATACAGGCAAGGATTCTGGAGATATGTCCCATGTATGCCAAGCCATTTTCTTGCCTTTGTTGCGGAAGGCAGACACAGTGTCACATCCTGTAAAGGCATGGAAGAAGAGCATGCCTTTGACCTTCTCCTGGTCAACATGCTGAAACATGTCATGCACACTGATCCAGCGCAGAGTCTGACCTTGCCCAAATGCAAGCCACATATGCTGTAGGCCAGCCTCTTGGAGACCGCTGAATACACTTATAGCTAAGATCAGAACATCTGTGTCATTTGCCTTGATCATGATGGATTGGCTACCAGTTGCATGTTTGGTGTGCACAAAGATGCGGCTGTCCGCTTCCTCGTGAGAGCATTTATCCAGTCCATCAAGGCCAGTTGCACGAGTGCTGAGGACAGCAGGTCCCTTTGTGACGATGATGGGCAAACATTTGTGCAACCTTGTCGGCAAGGGTGGGACAACTCTGTTTTGTTGTTATTGTGCCTCAGGAAGTTATGCCAGTTAGATAGCATGGTGTTCTTATTTGTTACCTTGCGTCTTCCCCCCTGGCCACGTTTGGACCTGGTCTCAGCTTTAAGGCTTGATGGGTTTTACACATCAAACACCAGATGTGTCATTGTGTACTTGCTGGAGTACATGTAGATCACAGGTAGGAAGTCGAGAGCTGCATAGTCCTCAAAAGTCTCAGATCTTTTTGGTGGCAGGGCGTGGTCCAAAGCTGACCCATCTACTATGAGAATGTCTGCCTCAGGTTCCTTGTCAACTGGTGGGACATAATTCTCAAGGATAGGGGTCAGCTGAGACTTCTGGCAAGTGTACAATTTTCCACCCTTGCTCAATGCAACAGGGAAGGACTGGTTCTCATGCTGAAAGAACTCCTGGAGGTCATGCGGAGTTACACAGCAGTGATATCACCAGTGTGCCCTGGTTGTGTGCCGATATTCACTCTATTACATCTGCAAGCTTGTACTGTATAAACATCTAAATTCTGTACTGCAATGGCCCCATTGGATGCATAGACCAAAAATATGTGCATGCCAAAAGTTAATGTTTCATAGTCACTAAGATCGGATTACTTCAAGGCAATGGCAGCCATCTTGGACACCATCTTGTTTCTCAAATTTAATGTTATAACCCTCATGAAAATAACAGATAATGGAAATGATATTTTCATATAACCATATGCACGTAACAACTATCGGTGATACAAATTTCTCACTCTCCCAATTCTGTACAAGTATCTATATGCTGTATCTCAAGAACCGTAATGGATACAGAAATGGATACAAAATTTCCGCAATACCCAACTTTATATTCAACTTCAATGTATGTATGGGGCTTAAAATCAAGTCATTTTGAGTTATAAAGGAAAAAACACATATTTGGGGCGGACATCTTGGATTTTGGGGCCGCCGTCTTGGAATTTTGCGTGGCTAACGTTATTTTTGGAAAGAGTGGGGTTTGAAGAGTATTTGTACAAAATTTCATGCTTGTATAACAAAGTGAACGATTCGGGCTATATTATGCATTTGTCTGCTCCACTACACAGGTTAACCTGTGCTGGATTTATCCACCATGCTCCGGCATCCAGGAAAAATAGAACTCTTGTGATCAGCTGTGGAGTCCGGCGATCCACAGAGGAACGGAAAGAAGCCGGTGGAAATTGACACGTTAACATGAATGGTTACGATTGGAGGATACGACCTTTTTGTAGCCGTTCAGGATGGGGTGGAAATTGGGGGTCAGGAGTTTAGCTCGGGGGTGAAAACATCTAAAATCAGGATTTAGACTCTGGGTTTTACCTTCTCTCTCTCTCTCTCTCTCTCTCTCTCTCTCTCTCTCTCTCTCTCTCTCTCTCTCTCTCTCCCCCCCCCCTCTCGCAGGTTCACCCAGAACCTGTCGGTCTTCAGGCGGGAGGTCAATGACAGCATGAAGAACTCCACATACGGCGTCAACAGCAACGACATGATGAGCTGACATTCCACACACACCAGTCTTACCCCGCCGCAGACAGAGCTCTCCTCCTCCCCCCCCTCACTCCCTCACAGCCTCCCCCTCTCCCCCCACTCTGCATCAGCCTCCCTCTCCCCCCTCCCCCCCTGGGCCCGGATGCCTGGGGACCATCTCCTCCCCCCGACAGGACGCCCCCCCCCCCTCCCTTTTTGATATAAACATATATAAATATATACAGATCTATTTTAAAGCGATGGTCTGACTCGTCCCAGCAAGGGAGGAGTCAGGAGGTCAGAGATTTTTTTTTTTTTGGGGGGGGGGGGGGTGTCGCATGTTTAAGCACTCTGAATCACTGATGGGGAAGGAGAGAGAGTGCGGCAAGCGGAGGTGAAGGAGAGGAAGGACCGCCGGTAATCGTAGTAATCCGCTTCTGCCTGCCTTGTATAGAAACCCACCAGAAAAACCAACAAGTGTACATTTCTTTTGGTAACAACATTTTGAACAATGATGTTTATAATGATCGAGGAGGAAAAACAACAACGAAAAAACTCAACAAAAAACTGTGTGATTGAGCTTTTTACAGTGTAGTGAGTTAGTGCAACTGTCTGTCTGCGTGGGGGGCGGAGCCAGCTGTCCACGGGGGGGATGGGGGGGGCACAGGAGCACTTAGGAAGGACAGGTACACACACTAAGAGGAGGGAGATAGCGGCAGAGCGTCCATGTTGTACATTTTTACTCAAGTCTCTGGATGAAGTGATGTAAATAAGCCACGCCCCCTCAATTCAGCGGGTAGGGCAGAGTTTAAAGGGACAGTTCAGCTGTTTTTAACTTGGTAGATGTGGAGTTCACAGTCCCAGATGTTCTTCCTCCTGGAGCAGGTGAACAAGTCTGCAACCTGGTCTGAGACGGATCCACCAGAGGCCAAAGTTCCTGTCCTTGTTTATTAAACTAGAGTCTGACACACACAGAGATAGAGAGGTGTTTGATCGCCCAGGAAAACATCGTCTCAAACCCGACTGTGGGTCCGAACACGACTTATCAGAACCTTAATAATCACAGTAAATCTGAGGAAACCACGAGTCCGGTCAGGAGGCTGCCAGGTTACAGTCTTGTGTCCTCAGATCTTTTTAATCCAAGTCTGGAGGATTTCTTTAAACAGCTGTTACATAGAAAAAATAAAAAAACTCTCTGAATATGGGAGTTCCTGGTCCACCTCGACAGAAACAGGAACAGGTCCAGGTTTCAGTAATCAGGCAGTCCGGGTTAAAAGAGTTCCCGACAGACCCAGCTGCACCAAACTCCATTCACAAAAAATTATGATTTTAGCTCGAAGAACTCAGAAGTTGCTGGTTTACAGCTGCCTCAGTTTCTTTAAACAACTGTTAAATGAAGAAAAAAAAAATCCTGGTCCACCTCCGCCCTGACTGCTGGTGTTGGACCTGAGCTCAGTCCTGGAGTCTGTACTCAGCAGGGACATCTGAAAACACACACCTGTCAAACGGACTTTTCCTGCAGGAGTCGGATCAGATCAACTCAGACTTTGGGTCCCAGAAACAGGAACAAGTCCAGGCTTCAGTAAACAGGTTGTGCGAGTTAAAAAAAAAAAAAAAAGTTTATAATTTTGAAACCGACACATTCTCCGTCTGCGACACTTTTTCACAAACAATCCAGGGACAGGTAGACCAGCAGCTCCTGTGGTCATGTGGGACAGGTTTGAACCAGAAACATCTGTTAGATCAGAGTCTGCAGGAGTTGGTGGTATACTTTACCTTTATCGACCTGTTCTAATCCAGTATATATATGTGCAGTAAACACCAACAGACAAACTCCTGAAACTCTGAGGTCACCCAAACTACATCTGAGGAGTTTTTAGTCTACCTGCTGATCTGATCATACCTCAGTCGGACTCCCCTTAAGGTCCAGAGATGATCAGCTCCAGTCTCTGGTTAAATTTGCTCGTTCTCTCTCTCTCACTCTCTCTCCCTCCCTCCCTCCCTCTGATGCTGGGACTAATTCCAGACCTGTTGGTGGATCCATGCAGACTTTACAACCTCTTCACCTGTTCCAGGAACTTCACGACTCCCTGACACCTCAACAGACCAGATCTCCACATGAACTCTGACAGAACTCTGGTCTCTATTGAACCACATCACCTCTTTTATTCCTCTCAGCATCTGCGTCTACAAACCACAAATTTACGATTTAAGACTCCACCCTCCAAAACATGTTTCGATACAGTCTGAGTCGGTGTCAGCCTGTTTCTGCTGCAGGTTGAATGAGCGAGTGAATCCTCCATCTGTCTGAAGTATCGATCAGGTTCTTATTGATCAGTTTAAAGAACCACATCAACATCATCTTTGTTTGACATTCCTGGAGAGCCCCTGTTGTCTCCTTAAAAAAACACAAGAACTTTAATCTCTATCTTTAGAGGATCACCGGTTCAATCTCTGGTTCTCTTCAGTATAAACAGCAGAACTGCCCTTTAACGGCCCCAGCCACTACAGCCTTTCCCCTTAACACGAAGCGACGCACTCAGACGGCAGCGTCTGTCCCGTCTTTCCGTGCGCACTCACACGCTTGTTCCCCCGCCGCGCTGATGGACGTGTAAGCAACATGGTCACAGCTACATGTCCCCTCTGGTAGGCTGGGCGCAGTTCACCATTTTGTTTACACTCTGGATTCCTCGGACCAGGTTTTTGGACTGCCCCCCTATTTAGGTCCTGCAGTGGAGTCTGTTTGGCGTGTGTGTGTGTGTGTGTGTGTGTGTGTGTGTGTGTGTGTGTGTGTGTGTGTGTGTGTGTGTGTGGAGAGTGGCTCTCTGTTGCCTGGTTTATGTGTGTGCGAGTGCGTGGCGTCTCACGGTGCTGCGAGGCCGAGGTCTGTGCCACCTGACAGGAGACTCTGACCCGGGTCAGAGCTCCGCCAAAGGATCCAGCTGAGAAGAAGAATGGTGCGGCAGCGACCTCTGGTGGAGTCCGAGCAGTGGACAAAGAGAAGAAGAAGAAAAGGAAGGTGAAGTCTTTAGCAACTTGTGTTCCTCTCTACGATGTTGCTGCTAACTGTTTGTGACAACTAGCTCATTTCTAACACGTCAGCACTCCTGGACGTTGATGGAGTTTTCCCAGTTTTTGGTTTGTGTCCTGATGATGATGTGAATGTGTTGGGTCCATAGAGTGAGTAGCTGTTTGAGTTGTTTGGATGTCTGCTACATATAGTGTAAGCATTGTGACTGCAAATAAACCTCATTGATTTTTACACCAAGACCTCAGAGTTTGATCTGTTCACACCAAAGAGAAACCAAATCCATAGGAAACAGGAGAGAAAAGATGTTCATCCTAAACCTGGAGATGTTGTTTAAAACTGAGGATTCAGTATCTATGAATTTAAATTCTTTGTTGAAAGGACAGCTAGACTTAGTTGAAACAACAATTAAGTCCAGTTGTCCTTTCTATGTGATGATTTCCACTCCAGAGTCCTGTCTGTTTTGTTGAAATATGGAGGTCTTCATTGAAAAAGTCTTGGGGCTCTATTTTCGTGCGCGCCGGTTAGGCGGCGGAGGGCAGCGAGCCCCGCGCAGTTGTATTTTCGTCCGGCGGAGCCCGGCGTAAGGCCAGTTTGGTATTTTCGTGGACTGAGCCGCACGGAGGCGAGCCGAGATCCGCCAAGCTGGGCGTGGTGGCGTGGCAGGGGGAGGTGTCGACAGAATCAGCGGGCGCAGTGACATTTTCGTGCTCGCCACCGGCGTGTAAAGTACGCTGAAAGCTTGCCGATTCAAACCTGGTCAGCTTTCAGCGCATGGCGGAGCGCAGCTGGTCTAGTAGTATTTTGGTAGACCGGCGGCGTATCGGCATACGTCACTGATGCCTCACCGGCAGGTTTCCACAGTGTCAGGCACATTTCAGTGCAATAAATAATCATCAACTATTAATCTGAGTCAGCACATACATTTAGATCTATATCGATATATTCTGATCTATATCTGATCTGATGAGCGCGTTTGGCACGCGTTTGGACACACAACCTGACCGAATCAACACAGCTGAAAACGCATCAAATTAAATTAAATATCTAGTAAATAAACACACATGATGAAGTAAACAAGATATGTAATTCGTCTCCCTCCTTTTCTTTCTTCCTCTTCCTCTTATTTCTCGCACAGCTAGACCTGGACACGTCTCCGTGTCCTCTCTCCGTCTTGCTGCTGCTGCGGCTGAACAGATGATTTGTTTCAGCGCTCAGATGCGTTATCTACTTTAAGCCGACATACGGATATTATAATATTCAGTTTTGTGAGGCAAATTTATTTTATATGCCAACATCTATGAAAGAAAGAGCCAGGCCACGGAGCGCGATGCGTCATTTACGCACAGATGGTTCCGATTTTAATGCCATTATTGGAGTTTATGTTGTGATCTGTGCGCTCAACCCACCTTTGTCACGTGAGGTTTGAATATATGCAACTTTATGTGAGTGTCTTTATTTGTGGAAAAGGATGTTTGTCTTACCAGTGGGTCCAACATTACACACACCAAATCCATCTGTGCTTATATGAGAGAGTGTGGAGGACTCCCTCTGCAGCGCTTACAGCGACACTTGTTGAGGAGCTGCCCTTTGTCGCCATCTTGTGGCATTACTGTCTTCGGACATCTCTTGATCTCTTTGACTACTTCATGAAAATAGTAATACGCCTCGCCTGTGGCGGTTTTAAAGGCAAGGAGAGGAGCTTATGTGATTGGTGAAAACAGGTCTCGGCTGTGTTAAACCCACTCTCCGCCCTATCTCCTCCCTTGCTACGACTTAAGCTGCTGGGAGGAGCTGAGTTAGGGAGGGGGGATACTTACGCCGGGCTGCGCGGCTCACCAAAATACCAAAATGTGCTTGGGAACGCCTTGTCAGCGCGGCGGATCTGACTGACGCTGCGCTTGCGGCACGTCTCCGGCGAGGCACGAAAATAGAGCCCTTGGTCTGGATGTCAGCAGATGTTTCTCCTGAACCTGGAAATGTTCCTCAGCTTTAATGGATCCTTCACAGATGTGGAAGATACCAGTGACATGGACTCTGATGGTCCTCAGACCACCAGGGATGCTGAATGTTTAGAAACTGAAGGTGTAAATACTGAAGGTATAGAGATCGTAGGTGCAGATACTGACGGTGCAGATACTGAACATGTAGATACTGAAGGTATAGAAACTGTTGTTGTAGATAAAGTAGGTGTAGATACTGGAGGTGTAGAACTGTAAGTGAAGATTCTGATGGTGCAGATACTGAAGGTAGATACAGTAGGTGTAGAGAGTGAAGTTGTAGAACTGTAGGTGTGGATACTGTAAGTGTAGATACTGGAGGTGCAGATACTGAACATGTAGATACTGAAGGTACAGAGACTGTGGGTGTAGATAAAGTAAGTGTTGATACTGAAGGTGTAGATACTGTAAGTGAAGATACTGAAGTTATAGATATCGTAGGTGTAGATAGTGAAGGTGCAGATACTATGTAGATACAGTAGGTGTAGAGAGTGAAGGTGAAGATACTGTAAGTGTAGATACTGAAGGTGTAGATACTTGAGGTACAGAGATTAAAGGTGAAGATAATGAAGGTTTAGAGACTAAAGGTGTAGAGTGGGAATATGTAGATACTGAAGTTGTAGAGTGGAAATATGTAGATACTGAAGGTGTTGATACTTGAGGTATAGAGATTAACGGTGAAGATAATGAAGGTATAGAGACTATAGGTGTAGAGTAAAAATATGTAGATACTGTAAGTGATGATACTGAAGGTGATGATACTTGAGGTATAGAGATTAAAGGTGAAGATAATGAAGGTATAGAGACTATAGGTGTAGATACTGAAGGTGTAGAGTGGGTGGAAATATGTAGATTCTGTAGGTGTAGCTTCTAAAGGTATAGATACTAATGGTGTAGAGATTGAATATATAGAGACAAAAGGTGTAGATTGAATTAAAAAGAAACTAAAGTTATAGAACTGTAAGTTAAGATACTAGTGTAGAGACTGAAGGTGTAGATACTGGAGGTGTAGTTTCTGAAGGTTTAGAACAGTAGGTGTAGATACTTAAATTGTAGAGATTGAAAGTGAAGATACTGAGGGTGTGGAGACTTAAAATGTAGATACTGTATGTGTAGACACTAAAGGTGTAGATACTGAAGGTGTAGAGACTGTAAGTGTAGATATTGAAGGTGTAGATACTGAAGGTATAGAAACTGAAGCTGTAGAGACTGTACTTGTATCAGCCAGCAGACTGCGAGTCCACAAACAGACTCTTTCCTGGTGAAGATAAAACCAGCTGTTCTGGGATCAGGTCCATCTCTGAGTTTACAGTACAGACTGTGACTGATCAACACGTGGTGTTCAAAGAGAGAGAGAGAACAGGATAAAAATCAGCTGATCGAAGTCAATAAGATCATGATCTGATTTAAACTGGTTCAATCAAATAAAACCCAAAATAAAGGCAGACAGCTTTTAAACAGTTAAACTAGATCATTCTTGAAGCAGTTATGGAAATATCTGGACAGTCTGTAAAAAACTAGAGACTGTATATACAATCTGGGATAGAAAACCAGATACTATATGCACAATCTAGGATAGAAAACATAGACTGTATGTACAATCTAGGATAGAAAACCACAGTCTGTATGTACAATCTAGGATAGAAACCAGAGACTGCATGTACAATCTGGGAAAGAAAACCAGAGAAGTATGTACAATCTAGGATAGAAAAACCAGGGAATGTATTAACAATCTATAATAGAAACCATTGAGTGTATGCACAATCTAGGATAGAAAACAAAGACTGTATGCACAATCTAGGATAGAAAACATAGACTGTATGTACAATTTAGGATAGAAACAATAGACTGTTTATACAATCTGGGACAGAAAACCAGAGACTGTGTGTACAATCTAGGATAGAAAACCATAGACTGTATATACAATCTAGAATAGAAACTATAGACTGTATATACAATTTTGGATAGAAAACCAGAGACTGTATATTCAATCTAGAGTAGAAAACATAGACTGTATGTACAATCTAGGATAGAAAACCAGAGATTGTATGCACAATCTAGAATAGAAAACATATACTATCTCTACAATCTAGAATAGAAAACCACGGGCTGTATGTACAATCTAGGATAGGAACCAGAGATTGTATGCACAATCTAGGATAGAAAACCATAGACTGTATGCACAATCTAGGATAGAAAACATAGACTGTATATACAATCTAGGATAGTAAAACATAGACTGTATGTACAATCTAGGATAGAAACTATAGACTGTATGCACAATCTTGAATAGAAACCATAGACTGTATGTACAATCTAGGATAGAAACTATAGACTGTATTTTCAGTCTAGGATAGAAAACAAAGACTGTATGTATAATCTAGAATATAAACTATAGACTGTATGTATAATCTAGGATAGAAAAACCAGGGAATGTATTAACAATCTATAATAGAAACCATTGAGTGTATGCACAATCTAGGATAGAAAACAAAGACTGTATGCACAATCTAGGATAGAAAACATAGACTGTATGTACAATCTAGGATAGAAAGCATAGACTGTATATACAATCTAGGATAGAAAACCAGAGAATGTGTGTACAATCTAGGATAGAAAACCATAGACTGTATATACAATCTAGAATAGAAACTATAGACTGTATATACAATTTTGGATAGAAAACCAGAGACTGTATATTCAATCTAGAGTAGAAAACATAGACTGTATGTACAATCTAGGATAGAAAACCAGAGATTGTATGCACAATCTAGAATAGAAAACATATACTATCTCTACAATCTAGAATAGAAAACCACGGGCTGTATGTACAATCTAGGATAGGAACCAGAGATTGTATGCACAATCTAGGATAGAAAACCATAGACTGTATGCACAATCTAGGATAGAAAACATAGACTGTATATACAATCTAGGATAGTAAAACATAGACTGTATGTACAATCTAGGATAGAAACTATAGACTGTATGCACAATCTTGAATAGAAACCATAGACTGTATGTACAATCTAGGATAGAAACTATAGACTGTATTTTCAGTCTAGGATAGAAAACAAAGACTGTATGTATAATCTAGAATATAAACTATAGACTGTATGTATAATCTAGGATAGAAAACCAGAGACTGTATATAAAATCAAACAATGATAAAGATGATGATAAATGTGATAAAGAACAATGAATAAAATCCAAAAACACACAGACATTCAGTTTGTGTAGCT